AATAAGTCAAAAACCTTTGAGCGGTTCTTCAGAAGATCCACGTGCTTCCTGTCTCTTAAATTGAACACAGTTTTTCTTTGACAGAAACAAAATAACACCTCTGTGGTCCAGAACCAGGGAAGCCTTTTGTCAAGCAACATATATTTTATACTCTCATCCCAACAATGGGAAGAAAGGCGGAAATTGGCAGTGCATTTAGTTTCTGCAGGCAAACGGCTCCACTCGGATGCTCGGCTTATTTAGATGACCTCCACCTGCCAATCATTGTACATTATCTGCTGATGACTAAGACCAGCAACGCTAGATCGGGTTATGTAACTGCCTCTCCTGCTGAGCTGGGAGAAATCACTTGCTCCCTCCGACTTTAATTACCCAAAGTATCACTTTTAGCTCACACACACACACACACACACACACTGTCCAGTCATGTAGGTCAAAGCGAGAACATGTGACCTGATGTACGGCAGCTTTATGTGTATGCATAGAAAGAGGTTGCCTCGGGCAGTGTTTTCATTTCAGAGTCCTGCAGAAAGAAAAACATGCTCACCCCATCCCGGACAAGGGAGGGAGGGAGGGAGAAACCACAGGAGGGAGGAGATAAGAGAGAGCGGAAAGACGAGAGCTTGATAGGGAGACTCAAAGACGAGGAGAAGAAGAAAGGAAGAGGGGTGGACAGAAACAGAGGTGGAGCAGGTGGTGGTAATGGCAGTGGTGGCGGTGGAGGATGGATTTACCCCAGGTGTGGAGGGGGGCAGCTCTGAGTCTGACAAACCGTCAGTGAGCGAGAGGGCTGGACTACAAGTCTCCATGTAAATTGGATGCAGATCTGTGCGCGTGGTGGGGCTGAGGAAGCGCGAGGGACTCCTCCCATCACCGGGCGCCACGGGGGACGCGACAGAAAGACAGCGTGTGGTGCGGGCTTATGCCCAAGGACACGTGTGTGTGTGTATGTGTGTGAAACTTTCTCTGGGACGGCGTGTGGGTACTAGTGTGTGAGTGATGTGTGCGTTAGACAACACAATCCTAGAGGAAGTCTAAGTGTGCGTTTCTCCAGGGAGATTCTGTCCCATAGAATGAAAGTGTTGTCAACCATCGGCGCTTCTCCCTGACACGGAGTTCCTCAAAGACACGAGGATGAAGAGAGACGAGCGAGCAGGAACAAAGAAGAAAAGGAAAAGAAAGTCTTTTGAAGGATAAACCATGGGATTAGATAAGGTGCTCCTTCTGGACTATTGAGCCAGTATACGTGTGTGTGTGTGTGTGTGTGTGTGTGTGAGAGGAGAGCCCGTTGCTCTGAGCACATTAGCTGCTTGGTGTGAACAAAGCCCCTCACCTGCACGCTTTATAAAAAGGGCCTGGGAGTCAGAAAGAGGGGGGGTGGGAGCAAGTGCACACTTGTGTGCCCACCAACAAGAGCAAAAACGATGGACTTTAACTCAATAGAGACCCAGTATGGGTGGATGTGCATGTGCGCATCTAGATTCCCTGTGTTGTGTGTGTGTGTGTGCACGGTAAATAACAAAATGAAATCCTTACATTAAATGAACAGCCATGCTCGTTGTGCGACTGTGTTTGAGCTTGTGTGTTTGAATATACAGTAGTAGTTCTGCACAATCGGGCAAGTGACATAGATCACTATGTTGGGGTCCGGGGAGGTTTTCCAAATGTCGTTCCAGTGTTGCACCATTTTTTTGTGACGATGTGCGTTTTGGTACTTTGTCACTCTGCAGCACCACAGATCTCATCCCAACCCGGGGACGGACAACACAGAGGATGAATGAGAACAATGCTGGCGTGTGTGTGTGTGTGTGTGTGTGCTCCCCGCCGTGACCAAAAGTGGCCGGAGCTGTTTGAATTGGATTATCTCATACATTTTCTATTATCCAGCAGGACCTTGAAAGAGATCGGCCTGCTGAGAGCCAGAGCCCTCCATATAAAAGGGTTTGGCCAATTTGTAGTATGCCTCCTCTCTCAGGTCGGAACAGATGTTGAACTCATTTTATTTTGCTTAACTTATCCTATTTAGTCTCGTCGAGATCAAGGCACACAGGTCGGACTTATCATGCGACTAATGAGGTAAAAAACAATTGTGGTGGAAAGTGAATAATGTCAGAAATAACGCGAGTAGAGGAACGAAGACAGAGGTTGTCAGAAGGAGACAATTGTCAATGGGAGTAACCAAAAGACCTCAGCAATTAGTCAAATATGTAGTCCACACATGTTAGTTCTTAAAAGGATAAGTTCAGTTAAATCACATAAATCACAACGATGAACGATGGACGGATGGACGGATGGACGGATGAGGGGGGAAAGGGCCCCAGATCCTCACTGACTCCCACTGTGCGTCAGAGCCTTTAAACCGCTGTTCTGTGCTCCACCGGTGACGTTCGGACTGCTCTGTTTATTTTGTTGTTAAAATAAATGATAAAAACACTTAAAAAGCTGCCGCTGAAAACAACGCTAACGAGAGTGGGGAGAACAAACCGACCACAAGTGACCTCTTTTCACATCACATGCAGGGATGTGATGTGTTGACTATATTAAAATATTGGCCGTCTTAAAGTGTAGCGTCTGTGTAACTGTTAACGGTGGAAAGCTTATCTACAGCCTGGAGCTTATCAACCCTACGTGTGACCTCGCGGCGGACGTCCTTCTCAAGCCGTTTCTGAAGGGAGCAAAAAACTTTTGATGAACACAAGAAGAGACAACGCGTCCTGATGGCTCAATACAAGCTGCGTGCTCGATGTTGTGTGATCAATTAAGACGCGCAGCTGTTCATCTCCCCAGATGTTGGTGTCACTCCGCTGCCCCAGACAATGGCGGCGGGTTTGGACGCAATCCATTATTCTTGCATAGTCGGCGAGCTTCTCATCAGTCCCCGGTGCCTAAATCACCAGCCGTGTAATAATAGTGCCCAAGTAAAAGCTTTTAGAAATATGTATACTTTATCTGTAATATATATTCATTTGCATAAAATGTGCCATGGAACAATGCACACGACGAAGTGCACTGAGTTTAACATTTTCAGATGACCTTTGTCCAGTGCACGTGGCGTCTGGCGCCTCTCACGTTAGCGCGGTACGTGGTGCTGGTCCTGCTTGAACAGATGGAGACGCGTCCCTCCAGCAGCGCTTACTGATCCTCCACACTTCCATCACTTGGGACCGTTTTAGACTGATAGTAAATTATATTCAGGTACATTTTTCATTTTGTGCAACGCAAGTCATTTTACGCTAAATGAATTGCCATTAGATATAAAATAAAAGTTATGAAGTACTTGGCCCTATAATTTGGGAGCCAATGGATTACATACGCAAGTAGTTTAAACCAGTGACAGCAAAACATTGATGCAGCAGTATTTACAACCTAACAATTTAATATGTATTAATTTATCTGTCACAGGGGACGTGCTTCTGCAGCTCCAGTGATTTTACCTTTTCAAGCTTTTAGTGCTTTTGTGTTTTAAGGTAACAATTTGAATACAGACATTTTATATTGTTTTATTTGAATCCTACTGGATGTTGTCTGCTGGTATTTCCGGCTTTATTTTGTCTTTTATTTAAGCAATGTCCTTCCTAAAAATCTAAAATCCTTCCTATTGAACTTTAAAGTTGAACTATCAGACCCGTTCTCTTCATTTCACATGAACGGGATGACGCGTCGGTCTCGTCAGCAGCTTTTGCCAGTGGGCCAGTTTCTCAAAAGCAGCAGAAGAGTAATCCTCTAAGTTTGTAGAAAGAATCATCTTTGGATCAAAGTTAAGGAATGAATGATGTCATTGGAAGGTCCTCACAAAGCAGCGGGACGGAGTTGTGTGTGTGTGTGTGTGTGTGTGTGTGTGCAGAAGACGGCTCAGCGTGACCAATGACAGTGCCAGGGTCCAACGGGGAGAAGCAACCAGCGCCTAGACTCATTGCTTTAGTGGCAATGCATTTTTGATGTTGCCCCTTTCTGCTGCAGCTTCTCCGTACGACCCTGACGGAATAACAGCGCCCCCAGCAAGCGTCCGTATAGCTTAAATTAACCCTGTGACGTTTGCAAGGTGTGTGTGTGTGTGTGTGTGTTGAGAAAGAAGCAGCACATATAGACGAAAAGTAAGAGCGAGAGAAGAGAGGGAAAGAGAAAGACTGTCCCCCTTGCCTGTTAAATATTTGAGAAGCTTTCTGTGGAAGCGATGCAGTTAGAGACAGGCCTGTTAGCCCAGTGTGTGTTTGTTTGTGTGCGTCTGAGGGGGAGACAGGCCTGACTAATTCAGCTGTGAGCAAGTGAGAGGGAGAACTTCCACTGTTTATTTATCTACCTGGGAGGGAGAGAGAAAGGGTCAAAACAAAGATGGGAGGGAGAGAAAGGAAGAAAGGGGGAGTATAACGGGGTGAGAGAGCGAGAGAGAGAGAGGGAGGCTGGCTGGGTTGTCACAAACCATTAGGCCGGTGTGCTTTGCCCCACGTCAATGAGTCCCAGCTAAAGAAGCCCGCATGCACGTTCCCGTTAATGCAAGTGTGCCCATGTGTGTGTTTGTTTACAGCTCCCTTTGTTCATCTGTGCACGTGGGTTTTGCAAGTGGTTGCAATTAATATGTGGGAGAGACAGACAAAGAGACAGAGAGAGAGAGAGAGAGAGAGAGAGAAAACCATCTCTTGATGATGAGAAAAGGAGGCAGGTTGCCCTCATTGTCGAAGACAAAAGGAGCTCCATGCGTGCGCAGGAGGACCAAACAGCTACTTGCACGTGCACACACTTTGTGCGCGTGTGTTTTGCTTGTTCACTTGCAAAATACATTAATATTGTAATATTCTGCTCGAACTGACGAAACAGGGAGATTGAATAAAAGGAGAAATAAACGATGAGTGCAGACAGCTTATAGCAACAAGAAATACAAAATGTGTTTAGATTTCAGGGATCAGCGTGCATGCTGGATGTTTACCCTTATTTGAAAGAGGGGAGATGAACACACACACACACACACACACACACACACACAAAACTGTACTAAAACTCACTTGGGGTTGGAGCTGTTCCAGTAGACAGCGTGTCTGTCAAATATGATCTTCTCCTCCGCCCACACGGACACCCAGGACAGGATGGTCAGCAGCACCACCTCCATCACACACCTGTGCCCGAGCTGGCACAACATCATAGACATCCAGGGGGTGAGGTGGGGGGGGTGGAGGGGGTAGAGGGGGGAATCTCTCTCGCTCTTCCTCTACAATCTTCCTGGGATCGGGCTTTCTGCTGCAGAAATCCTCTTCAGATCATCAATGTCCGTCCCCGCGTTTCCGTGCAAATCGAGACGGGAGGCTCGTGGATCGTTAATTCGCTCGCTGCGCGTTCCGATATCCCCACGGCGGTTTCAAGTCATACTGAATGGTTGAAATCTTCACTTTCTAAACTTCCGTCTGCCGCGGATTCACATGTTATTTACCAGCGAGCGGTCGGCGGGATGCTGAGAGCGCGTCTCCTCGGCAAGGTCCGAAACTTTTCTCCCATTACGCGCAGCCGGGGAGATAGATGCGCCACCTGAAGTAGACCCCCCTCCGTTTCTCCAAGGATGTAAAATTAAATGAAATATCAAAATTAAATTACACTCCAGAACTCCCCCGAGGTTTCTGATTCTATTAGCGACGGACACATCGGCAGACAAAAGACAACGTCAAAATTGGCCGTCATATTCGTTTACCCAGATTGGTGTTGGATCGCACAGCCTTGCGCGCTTTGTTCCGCTCCCCTCCGCGCAAATCTCTCCACCTTCCCCCCAAAAACCGCGTCCGCTTGAGCTTTTTGTTGCTCTTATTGCAGTTCAGATGAATACATCCATTGGCGTTATTTTTCAGTCCAAAGTTATCGCACAAGAACAAGTGCGAGACGGCAGCATCCTCTGCGCGCACACCGCCAGCTCCTCACAGCATCTCAACTCGGTGATCCCTCCGCTGTCACCGGCTCCGAACCAACGTGACTCCGGTCGACCGGTGCGCCTCCGCGCGTCACGCTCACCGGCACCAACGACGATCGCAGCTTTAATCCGTGCGCGCGCTCCCGGGCGACCTCCACCATACGACACTCACCGGCGGCCTGATTCGGTGCGAGTAACCTCCACCCCTCTCTCCATCTCGCACTTGCGCGCGCCCCCCTCCCCACACACTTAATCTTAGCGCGGGCGGGGTCTATAGCCGTGCCGCGCCGCGCCGCGCCCCCTCTGGGGACTCGGGGTCGGTTGATTCCCTGACTCGCAGTGATACACACAGCCGGGGTCGTTTAAAATCCACAAATCGATGAAACGTGTGAGGAAAAACGGACCCTTTTATTGGCCTAAGACATAAGGTGCAGACACATGACGAGGACATATTACATCCCTGGAGGAAAACTGGAAATGAGAGTTTCGTTTGTTTGATTGTTAAGTATCAATCTACTTCACATCCATCTGTGTGGCCCGAAGGCGGTTTATTGACCTCGCATCTGGACACGTAAAGCGACCCATGAAGTTCACTTTTGTTTGAAAGCCGGCCTGATGGATGGGCTCGGGGAGGGAGGGAGGGAGGGAGGGGGGGGGGGGGTGTCTGATGGATCGCTGGAGTCATTTTCCATCAGTGTCCATTAGGCACAAAGGGCAAGCGAAGGCATCACCGAATCTAAAAACCTGTGAGCCATAAACCTCCAGATAGGTCTGTCTGACAGACCGCTGCCCCCCATGCTGCCTCCGTCCGGGCCGCGTGCGAAAAATAAATAACCATCTTAAGCATTTGTCCTCAGCGCAGATGGAGGGAGATGTAGTAACTACATTGTTGCTCCATCGTTTCCCCAGCGCGTCAATAACTCGGATCAATCCACTCTGGGCAAAGATGGGAATCGATTCAAGACAACGATTTTGCAACAAGTTCATTTGCATGCCTTGAAAAATAGAAAAGGAACATCGTCATTTTAGCAGACTGAACTGAGAGGAGGATGTTCTGCAGTGTACAAACTCCCCCCATCCTCCCTAATCCCAACAGAACCTTTCTGCAGCACCAGCCTCATCTCTTTGTGCCTCTAGTCGAATCCTTTCTGCAAAGTGTCCTACTTTTGCTTTGCTCTGCCTGCAAAGTAATGCCTATAATTTGGGCGGAAGGACCCCATGCCCCCCCCCCCCCCCCTCATAACCCAAATACAGCTGCATGTTGTCCGCCCGTGTGGATGAATAATTCAACATCTGTCTGAGGCGTGCATATGTAAACAGGTGGGTCGACTGGTGGCATTTTTCTTTTTTAAGGGGAGCCGCCATCGACCAAAGACATCCTCCATCTGGGCTCCAGGCTCTTTTGCCCCTCCACTGCAGTGTCACCCTGAAAGTGAGTAAACTTCTTGGTCAAATGTGCGAGCTGCACAGCAGTGGGTGTATTGAGCTATAAAAGGCCTCTTAAGCGATCCTAAATCTGAAAGCAATGTGGGTCAGAGTCCGTGTACGGACACATGCTTCCTTAAAAAGGAAGGCGATGAATCCTGGAGCTTATAGCCGGTTGAGTCTGATTGCTCAGTAGTTTGACTCGTACATTATTAGGCACATGAATCATCACCCAGCTCAAGAGCTTAAAAACAATACAAAAAACAATGAATGTGTGTCTATTCAAGCTGCTGAATAACAAAGTAGCCATTCACATCCAGCGGACTTTCAAGGCTCACACAAATTTACCCCGTCGGTCCCCTGGTGACTAACTGGCTTTTGTGGGGATTGATCATGTTGCAAATGATATACAGGACGGTCTCTAAGAAGCATTCAGTCCTCACCGGCCTCGCGTTTGCTTGATTAGAGGCCTCAGGACTAATGTCAATAAATGCAGCCAGATGTGGCAGGATCCCCGGGCCCAGATGGTTTCAATTAGACCACGTGCACACGGCGCCGGGCGAGGGAAGGATCACCCCGAGGGTTCAGGACATGGCAAAGACCCGGAGGAGGTGGAGGCGGTGGGGTTTCGGACACGAGGACGGCTGTACAGATAACCTTTGGAGATGGAACGTGCCCGGTGCTTGCCAGTTCTCCGCCTGTGAAATGTGTCTCACTTAAACATGCATTAAGGAACATATTTTGTGTGCCAGTGACTTCTGGTATTTGATAACCCCCGAAAACATCCCAAATCCGTGTTTGGCTCGGCTTACTTTGAGTTACCCTTCCACCCAATCATGCAATCTCTTTGCATTTCAGTATATCCCAAAGAGGATTCCGTGCAGACTGCTCCCTGCTCTGAATTACTCTCGGTGCAGAGTGAAATACTAAGATGCTGCAAGTAAACAAGAGTCTGAGGTATCAAAGCGGCATCAAAGAGTCATGTTGATGCCACGGTGTGCCTCGACTCTAGTAGGGATACACTGAAGACTCGAGAGAGAAAAAAAAAAGCAGAAATGTACCGGAGCACATTTTATCTGAAGAGGCTGTTCCAGTACCTGAAAGGGGAAACATTGAGACAAGCGATCTGCTCCAGAGTACACGCTTCTTTGAGGCACAATGGCAGCACATACAAGACTTATCAGATTTTACTGTGACCGTCAAGCATGTTTTTCATCTGCACAGCGAGAAGAGAAACAAGAGCCCTTCGCCTTGCAAGTGGGAAGCACTGGATTTAAAACCACACTAACTGCTGGGCTTACACAACTAAATCTAGCTCCCCTGCACCACCAACAGACACCCCTGGACTCAATTATCCTCATTTTGTCCCCCTCTCAAAAAGGCAGGAAGATCAGAGGTTAATCCTCTGCAGGGAAGAAATAAAATAGGTAAAATGCCAGAAATCTAAAGGCAGGTACTTGACATTAAGCCACTAACTATTGACTATTGTGTGAGTGGCAGGAAAAGTCACCTCTGCTTGGAGGCCTTTGATTTCAAAGCGCAACACCGCCCTCTAGTGGCTCAGGGGTACGACCAGAGTTCATTTCCCACTTGCATCACCTAAAGACTTGCAAGTCCGATATGCATGCTTGTCTTTCGCTCTCAAAATACAAATATTAAACTCAAGCCTTTTTTTTTTTTTTTTAGAGCCACCAAGCTCCGCCTCTAAGACGGAGCTGGTGGACTGGAAAGGACGGTAGGATATTAAGAATGATCGTGAACAGCAGCTCTCACACCAGCAGTTTGAGAGCGAGCGCGTCGCTGGATGGAGCGGATCACCCGGAGGAGCAGTCAGTCAAGTTTCAGATGGGATGAGTGCAAAGTGGGAAACGTAGTAAAAAGATTCCCCACCAGTAAACAGGATGGGAAACTGGGGGGAAATGAGTGTTAACGGACACAGAGCAGCAGAGGGGAAGAGACAGAAACCAAATGAGGCCAGATGAAAGAAGGAACAAACTAAAGATTTATTGAAGGCAGCAGAAGATGCAAGAGACAAGACCAGAATGGCAGTGGGGTTGAGGGGGGGGGGGGTCACATACAGACACACTCCTGTGTTCAAATAGTTTTAATGTCTTTGTGTTACAAAAAGTTTTTTTGTCTTTGTTTTTTTACAGCTCCGTAGAGCTCAATAGGTCTGTATTGTTTTTATCAAAATATACATGTTTTGAACGTAAAGTGGATATAATCCAAATGATTGTGGTACAAAAACATGAATATATACAACCATCAATCCCGCGTCATACAACAACCCCACCCCCATATAAAAGAGAAACAAAAAGCTTTAACAAGAGAATAAAGGCATATAATCTTCTACACCATCACAGTTAGGACTGTGTTTCATTTAAGTATCCGTACTAAAGCAAACTACCAAAGTAGGCTCTTTGAAATGTCAATCCAACAAAACAGTATACAATATACAGTCTAGACCGATACCCTAACATGCTTTAACTTCAGGTGACATTTGTCCAAGGCATCTTAGAAACAGCAAAGGGAAACAAAGCGTGTGTGCTTGTGGAAATGTTGAGAAACAAACAAACTGAGAAACTACAAACAGCAGGGGTAGAAGATACTTTGGTCCTTTGCAGCAACAACCGCCTGTAGCTACATGAAGCGTCGTTAAACCATGCATATAATCTTTTACAAAAATAGAGACAGAGTGAATCTGTATCTGGTCCAAAACTACAGTGGTCGCGGCTGTGGAAAGTGGTGCCGCAGCACGCAGGAATGTGACGACGTTTTAAGACTTCAGCGTGACGGTGCCAACTTGGACCTGTTGTTGAGGAAAAGTGCACTAAAGAACCTGGCTGTGGAAGTGGACCCGGACCGGGCGAGGCTAACCCACCGTGTAATCCTGAATTTAAAGAAAAGTGTATATATATATATATGTATATGTCTATATACACACACACACACTGGGTTTAGGCGTTTTAGACAGTCCAAGCTGCTCTCACAGGTACGATTACCTGGACATAAACGGGATAAAGGCATCTTTGTAGAACGCAAAGACAGATCACCTGAACAAGAGGTAAACAAAGTCAACTGACCAGGCCCGGAAAAAAAGGATTCAGCCTCAGATTAAAAACTCAAGGCACTGTGATAATGATCAGACCCAGCTACATATTGGTATCAGATACGCTTAGCAGTGATACACATGTAAATACTAACATTAAAAGAAAAGATAAATGAGTATATAGGTGTCCATGTATAGATGAACGTATGGTTAAATGACACCCCACACCCACCGTCGCCCCTCCTGAGAAGGGACTAGATGAAGGTGGCTGGGGGCCGTAAGACGGGAAGGCCGGCTACAGCTCCAAACTCCTCCCACAAAACACCACCTAACAGAGCTACATCAGCTAGCAAGGATATTAGGCAACTAAACTGACATACATTCATAGTTTCTACGTACATATAATGGGGATATGCATACAAATCTCTAGAAAAACAAGTGTTAAGATGGAACTGGAGTTTTCATGAGCCACTGTCACCCTCCCCCCCCCCCCCCCTTTAACAATGCTGGGACATGCCGCAAGGAATGAGCAAAAATAAAAAGGCATTTCTAGAGCCACGTCTTTTCCAAATGAAGCCACCGCGATGCTTAAGGCAACCTGGTCGGGGTAAAGGAAGGCACAGGACTGTAGAAAGAGATTGTAAGAAAAACGCATCCTTGTCGAATGGCTCTATATAGTGGTATGGATCCGCCGAAGTGAGTAGGCGGGTAGTTACAAGAAGATCAAATCAAAATGGATACAGGGGTATTAATTGTTTGGTGGTCTGCGGGCCAAAACAAAACCCTTTGTATCGAACCGTTTCTGACTGGCCAAACCGGGTGAAAGTGGCATTTCATAAAAAGGCACACACACACCGATACATCCACATGACTATCACAATAAAAGGAATGCTGAAGTGTGTCTTCTGTGGATACGATTCATCCACGTGAGCATCTGTGGTGGAGGGTGTCTTCTCTTAAATTTTTTGTTTTTCGCAATTTGGTCTAAAGTGACAGTTCATCGGCTGCCTCTACTTCCCCCTCCGGTGTCGTGGCGTCACCGCAGAACATTGCCCGCTTCCCAGGACCCCACTTAAGAACTAAACGATAGAAGGAAAAATATGTTTTTTGGTTTGGGTGCCAAGATCCTGTCCCGAACCGGAAACAAGTGAACTGTGATTCCTCAACCAAGTTTGGACCCGCTCGTTTACATGGTCCATGTGCACGTGAATGGTGTTTGCATCATTACGGGCCGGACCCACCGCTTGCAAGAGGAACTTTTTTAAGCAAAAGACAAGTGATACGGGAAAAAGTAACCACCCAACGGAAGTGCTTCCTCCCGTGGAGTCGCTCTCACAGCGACGCGGTACCTGAGGCCCTCGGTCACAATGAGAACGCCGCAGAACCAGAGAACGCTAGCAGGACTCTCAAATACAAACAAGTGTAAGACCGACCAACAGCCAATCTGTGTGGCAAATATTTATAATTGTTCACTTATTCATTTAAAATACTTTGTATTTTATGGTGAATTAACAATTAATGACAAAGTAAAAATAAAACGCGGTTAGATTTTTAACGTAGGTTGTTCGCAGGACCAAAATTGGAACCAGGGATCTGAGGCACAATGGCTTAAATGTGACACCCAAACCAATTGAGGGGAATGATAAAGAATGGGGAAGGGAGCAATATTCTACACGAGAACTGCAGCCATTTAAGATGCAGCGCTGGCGTTTTGCACTCAGATGGCAATACACTCGGAGGGAGGGAGGAACGGCACTCAGATGGTGGACTTTGAGAAGGACACTCTGAGGTGGTGGTTCTCTCCTAGATCGTGGTTGTGGAACTCAATGAGAGACTCAATTGCCTCTTCGACCGAGCCCATCTGGATCAGGGCCATCTTGCGGTCTTTCCTGTTGGAAAAAGGAGGAACAGTGTGTTTTTAGTGTCACCGTGCAGCCCACAGGGTTACTTGCCATTTGCTACGTTATGAATGATTTATAGATTTGCTCTACAAGGCATCTTTTTCAGTCTAAGCAATAAACAAGCCAAACACCCATAAGAACCAAACAATGGAAACGTGACGTAACCAAGACTTACTGAAAGAACTTGAAGGCCTTAACGGTGGCTCCTGAGCTGGCGAAAAGCCTCTTGAGGTCCTCCTCCACTACAGACGGCCTGAAAGCAGAGCAGAAAAAACGGTTTACCTTCGGTTGAGAGAAATGAAATCCCCAAAGGTGCTGAGGAGGGAGGGAAAGAAGAGAAGGCTCTCGCAGCTGAACTCACGGGATGTTGGAGAGGTGGAGTGTTGCAGAGGGCGGGAAGATGTTAGAGTAATTTTTGGAGCCGGGCTTCTTGAAGCGGTGCAGCGGTGAGTTGCTGTAATCCTTGGTGAGACCCTGGTCCTCGTGGCCCTCCCTGGGCAGCTGCACGGTGGTGTGTTTCGATGAGGTCACACGCATGGCCCTGCCATGGAGACGCTGACCATTCAGGTGGCTCATAGCTGGGAAACATTGAGAGGATTCATTTATTTACATCCGTAAACCATGTATTATGGGGCAAAAAAATAAATTAAAAAAACATTGTGATGCGCAGGGCTGGAGTGTAGCTACCTAGCTGAGCCTGAGTGCTATCAGACATCTGGATCAGAGCGTTCTCCTTTTTATTAAACAGGATCTTCACTCTCATCACATCGCCGTACACACCTAGGGAGGAAGAGGAAGGGGTCACAACATGTGTGCAACAAAGACACAGCCTTACCATGAGCTATAGAGCCAATCACAGCAACAAAAACAATGTAAACTCTCACATTGGAGATATCAATATTCATACCAATACTAAAATGAACAGTAATAATAATTTTCAGGCTATTCTACTAAATTTCTGTTCAATTCTGCATAGGCCCTCTAGAACTAACCCTACGTAAGCCCTCTTGGGTTACAATTACAGATACCGCTAACAGCTAAAACGGTTATTGAGTAGTGATTCAAAGACGGGAAATCAAAGCGTAGTAAAATAAGGGTTTAAATCGATTGGCTCACTGTGCAGTGAAGAGAACGTTGATTATTTGACCGACTGGAGGGCTTAGTAGGGACACATGCAGGAATAAACTAAACATGCACATACCTACATTAAGTAATCTGTATTCCACGAGTATCAACTCGCAGTTACTAAAAAGCAGCAGCATTTCATTTTTTGTGGATGCGATTGCTAGGGGACTCAAGGCACCCATAGAAAACTTTAGTTAGAAAATACGGCACCCGCTGCAATTTCATGGGCCATGATTGGACCGTGCCGAACCAAATAAAGTGTCGACTTTTATCCTCTTCCTAAGGGCAACACATAATAATTAAGATTGGCGTCCTGCCTCATCTCCAAACAAAAATGTTTCTACTTAGTGGTTGTGCCCTTTGAAGATGAAAGCGCCAAACTGGTGTTTGTGGCCCATCGACAGCGGACCAATGCTGTTAAAAATGAAGTGCTGCAGCTTTGCGTGGTGTTTGCACCGTAGTTTCCTCACACAAACCCACAACAAACAAAAACAGGTCATACAAACCCCCTAAAACACACACTCCCACCCTTCATTGCTCTGTAGCCTGATGACGAGCCATCAGTGGTTAAAAACAAAGCCAACAACATGAGACAAGACATGCCCACCTTGCCAGGTAACAGTAGTAATAAAAAAAAGGAGATGAAAGGATGATAACGTACCGAAAAGAATAAAGAGGCAGTGTGGCGTAACGCTCTTTAGAGACAGCAGGGGGAGTAGCGGGGCAGGGGGCCAAAGGGGGATAGGGAACAGGGGAAAAGAGACGGAGCGGAGGACAGTGGAGTGGAGTCAGGACATGTCCGCAGGCCACAGGCAGCGAGGTCCACAGGAAGGCCACAGTACCATGGAGGAAGGAGAGGCATGAGGGACGAAGAGGATGAAGTGGGGACAAGAGGAGGAGAGGATTCAAACAGCATGAGAGAGGAGGATGTGAAAGATGAGGATGAGGTTGTGGAGTCAGTGGAAGGGGCAGATGATGGCAAAAAAATATAAAATAAATAAATACAAATTCGGAGGGGGGTGGGAGGTGTGGTGGGGGGAATGAGTGTTGTGTTTTTATTTCAGTTTGTAGATGGTGACCAAATTGGGAAGGATGGATTTGGGAGGGTTGGGTGATGTAGTAGTAGTAGTAATAATAATAATAATAATAATAATAATAATAATAATAATAAGAGTGGCAGAGGGGAGGAGGACAGAGGGAACATTTGGTTGTGGGGCGTGCGGTCAGTTGGCAGGAGTTGAGGGATTTGTAAAACAAAGAGAGGAGGGGACAGAAAGAAGAGAGAAAAGGGAAGTAAAAAAAAAACAAGGTCAGTATACACAAAGAAATGTAGTGCTTCAGACAGTAGAACTGGCTAAATTAAAATGCACTGTCACTATGGGAACACTAGGAGAAAAAGAAGAGAAAAAAAGATTAACAATGAAATACAGAAAAAGGCAGAGACAATATGTACTTGTTATTACAGGCTACGTTTGTTTAATTATTTAGTTTCATTTGAATAAAACAGTCAACTCTGAATGTAAATTTTAATGTTTCTGTTCCAACTACTGGCTGACCTTGAAATTAGCACAGTTATCATGATAACTACAGTAAGTTTCCTCCCACCAATACATTTTACACACTACATTAGTAATGACCCAAATCCTAAATCAGAGCATGGTGCGTTTCTTTACAATATACAAAGAAAAAAGTAATATTGTCTCTCCAACAACTCAAGAATGATTTCAACTAACGGACAAAAATGAAGATATGAAATGGTAGGTTTCAAAAAAAAGAAAAAAAAAAGGAAGTTAGTGTTTTGAATAAACTTAAAATTCAGTGAGCAAAGTGGTAGGTCAGAGATACAGCAGGTTTGGTCAAACACAGAAAGGTCCTGGAAGGGAAGTTTGACCATGACCCCTTTCCATTTGAAAAAAGTGTTATGGGTACTCAAACTACTCCGGGGGGGAAACAGGGTGCCAAACAATGAAGCGCTTGTACAAATGGATCCAGGTCCATGGGCCATGGTGTAAACCAATGGCACTGTAACATTTTAACTTTTCTTAGCAATATACTGACCGAGGCAGAAGGTACAACAGGATACACCTAGGAAAAGGTACTGACCTCAGGGTTCAGATTGCTGACCAGCAACACATGGTGGCCCCCGGGGGCAGCGAACCCGGACAGGCCCAGCCGGCTAGCGGCTGCCGCGGCAGCAGCCATGCCACCGTGGCCCACACCGAGGGACGCCAGGGCGCCTGGCATACCAGGCATAGACAGCCCTAGGAGGCACAGAATATTTCAGTCGACATGAATTTAATCATTGTTCTACAGGAGAAAACACTGGGTTCACATCCAGGAGGTTTTCTTCATGTAGCAGGCAGAAATGTGCATTTTAAATGTGGAGTAAAAAAGGGTAACATACAGTTTGGATGCTGACCTGATGCCTGCTGGATGGCAAAGGCTGGGGGGAAGGCATGAGCTCCACCATAGGGAGAGGCTGAGATTAAGCCTGGAGCAGCTGGAACAAGAAGGAACATAAAATGAGCATATACAGTAGCACAGAAATAAGAACAAATTCTTCCAAAGGACCCCTCGGGACCCTTAATTTAATGCTCTTTAAAAACAATTAAAAATTCTCTGCTTCCCCTCTCTGCTCTTGTTGAAGAAAAAACACCTCAAATGTTTTCTTTCGTGACTGATTCAGGCCAGACATCACACACACACTTCATGGTCATGTGTAAAGCAATGCTCCAAAAGTAAGCTTTGCAAACAAAATGCAATACCTTTGAGGCCTTAGTTTGAGAATATAAAATATATTACTTTTATTAAGACATCGCTGGTACCCTTTGCTTCAAACCATGCCAGAATCTTACCAAATGCAGCAGCTGCCATGGTCTGGTGGTCCAGGGAGGTCTGTGAATCTGCAGTGGGGAGGTCTGGACGGGTATAATCCCTGCTCTTGTCGTTGTTGTACTTGACATTGAGGCTGGTGAGCTTTGAGAAGCTGATTCTCAGGGTACAGCAGGCATTGTAGATGTTCTGTCCATCCAGAGACTGAAACAGATATTTGCGATTTAGACTTGAGAACTGTGCGGCGTCTTGTGGTAACAACCTCCGCCTGAAACATGAGGAGCACAGCACTCGTTGTAACAGTCTTACCAATTTAGCGTGCTGAGCTGTCAAGCCATCGGCATACTGGATCAGAGCCTGGAATTGGTTGTTCTTAGTGAATGTGATGATCTTCAGCACAGTGCCGAATTTAGAGAAAATCTGAAGCGGGAGACGACATGATTAGAGGTGAAATCACAACATACACATTTTCATTGACACTAATGAAGATTAACAAAGGGAACACATTTGCACATTCTCTCCCACTACTGCCAACACGGATATTTTGTTGTGTAGCACTACCAGAAATTTAGCTTTGAATGTCATACATGAACAGAGTAAAAGTAAAATGCAACGATCAAAATTGACTTCAATTTACTTTCAAGTGAAGTCCTTTGAAAGAGCAATGTTCTACCTTTATAAAATCTGACTAGTGAATCCAAATTACAAACCGTTTTTTAAAAGAAAAGGGCCAGTCAGTGCATTCAGGGGGATCTATTAGCAGTAATAAAAAGTAGCTGGTAGGTTCTCTTTTGTGTACAATCACCAGTAAGCAAGTTGTTGCGTTCTTGTTACCGTTTATACTTGTCTCCATATAAAGCACGTCCTCTTTGAGTTCACTATGTTGCACAGACATGTTTACACACTGGAAGACATTTGTGTAGGTAGCAATCTGTAACCTTGCTGCTTGATGCCACCCAATTATTACACAGTGGCCCTTTATGATTAAAAAGGCACTGGCGGGCCCATGATATGTACAGAAAAACAGATACCAAAAACGGTCTGTACCTGGTGCAGAACATCCAGGGTGACGGGATAGAAGAGGTTTTCCACAATGACCCTGAGTACAGGGCTTTGGGATCCAGCTCCTCCCATGCTAGACACATCTGCTGGAATGGCCATGCTTCCCATCCCACCGCCATGCAGAGCACTGACCGCCTGCAGAGCTGCCTGGGCACGCTGAGAGACAGAGAGAGGAATTTCTTAACAAGAGTATATGGTCATAAATGAGAGACAAATTGTAGGCTATCGTCATTTTTTTAAACCAAAACTGCTGAAAGTGTGTCAGATTGAAAACGCTTACCACTTGGTTGGGGGAGTTGTCAGTCTTCAGCTCCTTATGAGTCGAGTACTGCATGTAAATGGGGTGGTTTCTGATGACGGGGGTCACAGAAGAGTAGTAGCTCACCATCGTCTGTGCACACTCCTCGCTGGTCATTTCTAAGAATGCCTGCAGGGGAGGACCATAAAAATGTATTAAAAAATGGTTGCACACTATAGCAACGTATATTAAGCATTCCAAAGAATCCAGTTAGTTATGAATAATATGAGCATTAGTAGTAATCACCGTACACATTTAGCCGAATATCATCTTTATGGTTTTGCAACATAACAGCCAGTAAGAATCTAAAACAAGTAGAATTCTCATCCTATTCACTAAACCAGGGAATGTGAAAACATTCAGGTCTAGACTGAGGGCTGGGAAGCTTTGGTCCTAAAGAGAAGTTGTCACACAGGCTTGGTAACCTGCATATATACACATATCTGTCCTTACCTGGTTTTTCCCTTTCAGCATCAGCAAATTAGTGACCTTCCCAAAGGGCAGTCCCAGGCCAATAACTTCAGCCTCGTTTATGTCATTGGGCAGCTTGCGTACATGGACCACACGTGACGGAACACCAGGACTGCGGACGTCACCTTTGAATTTTTTGCTGTCGTTGCCATTGGCTGCAAGGAAAAAAACAGAAGCAGATACAATCAGGGAGGGAACAGAAGGCTCTGGTTCTTCTTGAATAATGGATTGATTGTCATGGCAACACAGACCAACACAAACGACCAGCACAATAAAAAAATGTTTTTTTAAAAAGGATTCAACGCTCCATGGCAACCCCCCCTACCTGAGTTCATGATATAGGGCCCGTTGGATATGCAGGAAGAAAATAGTTCGTCGGATCCCCTCTGCAGAAAAGGGAGAAAACAATGGTTCACTTCAGTGTATTCAACAACGAGGGCACACCAGGTGGGGAGCCTAGCTCTCATATTACTGATGCATTGAGCGATAAAGCAGGAAGTAATATGATAAGCAAAAGAGGATTGAGCCAGCTCTCGAGAAGAACCCCACCTTCCTCCCTAGACAGACTTAAAAGACTTGGCTCGTCAGCAAAGTATTCGACTTATCATAATCATGTCGTCCTGTACCATTTTAAACAGTTTGCCCAAATCTAATTCCAAACCTTAGCCACAGTAATAAGAGAACATTATTCAGAACTTTGTAAGATGTGCAAAATAATAACGCCCATCACACCCAGTCGGCAGTAAATGAATTGACAGCTGCTTTTAGTTGATCAAACCCATATTTCATTATTCGGAGGGAGCATAACACACCCAAGTCCTCTGGATCGGAGGACAAGATGGGGATACTCCCGGCCCACACTAGATGGCTGTCTGCTGAAAGAGTCTTGTCTGTGCCTTTTTGCTCTAGTAGATAGAACGCGCTGTTTCAAGGCTGCGTGTGTGAGTTTGTGGTTGTGTGAGATGAAGTACAGCAGTCACAAGAAGTGGCTCAGCAGTCTAAGCTCTACAGCACTTCACAATGAATGTCCTGTTCGCGCTGAGACTAGGGACATTGTTACGCGACAGCAGCACACACGGAGCCCCGAGGACTCTCTGGGAGTTGAAGTGTCCTGGAGCGCTCTAACAACAACCAGTCATGCAGGTATGCTATCATTACACTCCACCTGGCGAAAGTCAGCCTTTAATTATGCAAGCCTAAAGTCTAATGAGAAATCGGGAATATTGTGAGAGTCGTGCCTTGGAACACTTAAGGGGGGGGTTTTGGGTACAGAATTAGTTGCCATGAGAGCACTAAACACTGTACACAGAAGAATAAACGAACTTCCAGATTGTTTGGCTGAGTTGCTCACTCCGGGGCCCACACAAACACCGTCTGCTATCTAAATCCATCAACTTAGAGCAACAAGAGACGTTCCTATGCCTACTTAACTTCGGCTTGGGGATCAGGGGCACCTCACTTTGGCAAGTCTTTAAATCTACACATAAATGCAATGCATACATGACAGGCAAATACTGAGCAAAGATTACATGCGGTGCAATGGCTCAGACAAGGCAAAAGAAACTTTAAAGCTTGTTGGTTTTTCCCCAATGAGAGTGACTAGTGAACTCATTTAACTCACACCTAATGGCACAACAAGCATTGTGGTTGGAAAATGTAAAAAAGAAAGTTTTTTGCTTGGGGCCACAGCCAAATGCAAGCCGTGAGAAAGGAAAAAGTCTGGCCCGACTCAACGCTCGTAGGCGGGCATTGTCACATTGTCTGTCTGTCAGCAGACAACTGCAAACAGGAAAAACAGCAATAGCTGGCCTGCTTCCAGGGTTCGGCTAAACTTCCTCTTGGGGACTGATGGTTACTGTTCCATAGGCAAGACAATCTCCCCCTCGTCCCCCATACTTCCTCATTCTAAAAATAACCACATAGCTAAGGGAGTGTGCAGCACAGAGCAGAAATATCAAATAATATACAAAACAGGACACTGTGGAACAAATGAAGAATGTAAGTAGCTATTATAGGGAGTGTGGCAGAGAGTGTAGTGCAGCCCAAAAGAGCATTTACAAAGCCAAGAGAAATGAGAAACACAAATGGTTTCAAATCTACGCAGACCCAACAAAAAATCTGCTAAATGTGCATCAACACAACATCCTTTGTTTCCACTGAATGTTAACTAGAATAGTAACCTTCAGTGAAGAGTCGGTGACGCATTATTGGCCCATATAATGATACCGATAAGCAGCTTCCTCTCACTAACACAGACTGGGGCAGTTTCCCTGCACCGTACACCTCCCCCCCCCACAATCAACAGAAGAGCAGAAAATGGGCTCTTAAAGCATTTAGGGACCTTGATACTGTGAGGTAAATTCCATCTTGCAGGAAAAACACAAAAGGGGAAGAACACAGGTAGAGACATGTTTGTTCAGTGTGAACGGCCTTTGAGGGGGCGGTGGGGGGTTTCAGGGACAGGGAACGGTGCCTCACCATGGGACCAGAGGGGGGGGGGATTGGAATGTGACCACGGAATGCCAGACACTCTGTCCAGAGGGAATCATTACAGATTCCAGCAAGGCAGTGCACCATAACTCAGCATTATTGTTACCACAGGACATCAAATCACAAAAAAAATAAAGAAAAGCTTAAAAAAAAAATAAAGAATCACATCCGTCAATTCTTCAGTACGGATGGGGACTTCTTGTGCATTGTTAAACGTTGAAACACACCGTACTGACGTGAATAGGGGGAGTGGGATGGGTCCCTGTTGCAGGCATGTTTGTCAGAGTGCTTGTTTAAACAGTACAAAGACCTTTGGCCAAGACGATGAAGACTGTTGAGAAGGGAGGGTTACAGCCCTAAATTGAGTCAAATTACTCCTCCTACACATTCCTGCCTGAAGACGCTGCTTACCTGGATTACTCTGTAGGCAGGCATTTCTATTGGGCACGCAAGTTAACAATCAGCAGTTTGACAAAAACAACGGTGCGGTTGGTTCAACATGTTTGAACACACACAAACTGGCTGCTATTCCAGTGGCATAAGCGCACAACATCACTTTAAATGACAAAAGATGCACACAGAAGATTACCACTAGACAATACTTGGCCGGTCTGTTTCACTGGGGATTGCAGACTACCTGTGCTAGAAACTAACTAACTCGAGCACCAAGGCAGGATTCAGCTGCTTTGCTTAACATTCCCGTAAGACCAACATGTTAATCAGGAACACACACACACACACAATAAACAGCAGGAAGTTTCATTTCCCTGCTGCCGCACAGAAACAGGACAGGAAAACAAAGCCCCAGCCGCATTTAATACATTCTAACTGAATGCTCAAATGTCCACAATCTGCAAACTAAATGCGCTGACTGTTGCATTGCAACTCTTTAAAAAAGGAGTCAGGCTGAAAAAAAGACTGAAAACTCATTCATTACACAAGAGAAATTGCCTCAGACAGCATTTCTGTAATTATAGAGGAAGCTCTTGCTGACAGACTACATGTTGTGCGTCGCAGTTATTTTCCATGTAAAAGAAATGAAATTGTTACCCTATTTTGATAGAAGACCTTACCCCAAATACACGATTTACTTAGACACACACGCACCTTGTAGTTCAATCAATAAACTAAAAAGCATTACTGCAAAAGGAAGATAAAAAAATCTTACCTTTGTGCCAACTGATATGTCATGGACACTGCTGTGAAAGAGAAATAAACTTCATTATTGCGCAGGAAATTCGAACGATATTCATTTGCGACCCTTGTAATTGTAAATGCGTCGGAAAGACGTGCGACGATAAACAAATACTCACTCAATTTCAGGGACGTAGCCGGTTCCCAGCGGGTACAATTCAGCGTCTAGGCGGCTGTGGTGGATTCACAAAACACAACAGCACACTTTAGAGTGGACCCGTGGCATATTTACAGGTAACAACAACGACCAAATTTCTCAAATATACGTCGAGCGTATTGTTGCGTGATTTCGATGCAACGTCGGAAATGGGCTGGAAGTATTTTTAAACTGTCGAATTCAGCCAAAGAAACGCGGTCAAATGCGCTTTTTAGTTACAAGACAAACACGATCGTGTGCATCCTACCCTGCTTGGACAAAACGCTATAGAAGTACGCAGTTCAATCAACAGCACAATGCTCGGGCCAGATATCTTCAACATGGCCCTGGCACTCCGCAGACAAATGAATGCGGAAATGAGACACGTTGCTTTAGCTAGCGCTCGGGGCATCCGCGAGACCAAGTTACCGAGGCGGTTAGCCCATGCTCGCTACGGTCTGCGTCAGCAAACACACGGGTGTTTCCACAATGCTCATTACGAGAAAGTGTATGGAGGCTGTACTACAGTCAACGTTTGGTTGGAGTTACATTTTATTTCACACAAAATTATAACTTTTGCCCGCTTAAACGTCTGACGTAACGACCGTTTGGTTAGCGACGGCTAGCGGTAGCTAGTTAGCATAAGCTCCAGCTAACTGTTGCATGTTTTGATCGGGGGAAAAAACGGGTTCAAAACTTTCCCGGTCCAACGGTTAAGTGAAGCAGCCCCCGTGCGTAATATTTTCTAATTAGGCTACATGTACATGGAAATAGATAACACAGTGGCCTCTTTGCCTTAAATAAATAAGTCTAAAGTGTGTTTTTCTTTTTTACTTACCCGTCCATCGCACAAGAAAAAAACTGCAGGTTTGAAGCGAAGGTAGGGCGGCAGACTTGCTTGATTTTCTTACAAAATGGCTGAACACACAGAGGCGCGCGCTGATTAGTCGAGCCACTTTCAAGAGCCCAAAACAGGCGGGGACAAGGTCCTACTCGAGCCCTGATTGGACAAGACGACTATCACTTTATAAAAGGTAAAAGAAAAAAAGAAAAAAGATGGAGAAGAAGGCCGTGGCACATTTCCCGAACATCATATGCAGCGACCAGGGAATGTTTGAGTGAAGAGTGTTTATTTCAGACAAAAAACGTACTTTGAGTGACCATTGTGGTCAAAAAAGGAAGAAGTTTCCCCTAAAGAAGAGGGCGGAGGGGTTCGAGCTCTCATACCATCTTATGATTATACAGTAGATCGCAGCTGCATAAACACACCTTCAGATGCTTTAATAAGAACCAGTATCCACATTGGTGATTAGATTACTCGGTAAGAGTAATAATACATGATAGCATATACATAAATAGCATTAGAAAATGTATTGATAATGGTACTTTTAGAAAGTGTTGTGTGGATGGATCCACAATGGATCATAACTAAGTAAGTTACTCATGTTTTGTGTATAAAAGCATAGCTATCAAATAAAATAAGAGTAATTAAGTAAATGTCCTTAGTTTCATCGATTTCACCACTTTAAACTTGAGAAAATTCCCTCAAGATAAGAGTCGTGCACAGTCATGTATAGTGAACTTTCCTCCCACACTGGTCATCAAGCGTGATGTATGAATGCAGTCACATCGTCTTTATGACCAAAACTTTGTGTATCCATTCAAATAGTAGTAATGGTGGGCTGCAGTTTCTCACCACTGAGTGTGATGAGACACAACACAATCAAGCCGGTAATTGCCTCGATACCGTGTGTCAGCACAAGTATTGATTCACCAAAAAGACAAAAAAGTAGTTTCAAATGCAAAAGAGAAGCGTTCCGCTGTGACAATAAAAGGAGGAGGCAACTATACAAATGCAAAACAACAAGGAAACCAGATGTAGGTCACCAATATAACCAGTTTTTTAAAGAAAGAGGCGTAGGAGCACTGGTGTAGTCAGGCTGGAAAGCACAACACAAGTGGGAGGCACTTATGTCGCCACTGGCTTACGAGAAGAAGAAGGAAAATAGCTTCCTATCAAGAAACATGCAATGCTTTAATTAATACAGTTGTCAGGCTTACATGTTTGTATTTCTCTTGGAAAAGGAAGATAAGTAACTGAATGATAGCTATTTGTAAATGGAAAGTTGTGACATCACAGAAACCCATAAATATTGGATAAGCAGCACAACCTGTCACAGTGGGAGATGTTTGTGAACAGTAACTTGTTACTATAAAATGTAAACACTTGCATCACCAAGGATTACATATTGATTTCACTGGTTGCCACAGGTATTGGGCCCGTCCTAATTTGTGCCTCATGCCAAAAAAACAAATGCCACCTTTTTATTCCCAATGACTTTTACACAATTTCACAATCAAACCCAGAGCGGTTGTGTTTTATCCTTTGCGTTGTGTCTTTGAGAGGGTAGAAAAGAGCAGGGTGTGACCTAAAAACTGCAAACAATATATTATCTGTCTTGTGATGCGTGAGCACCTCTGCTTCCACTGAACTGTAAAATCTGTCTCATCACAAAGGATGTGTCAACAAAAGTGAATCTTCCACATTCAGCTTTTAATTGTTGTTCATGGGAGGCAGAACTTACTGAAGCTTGAAACAGCATAATTATGTTGGGTTGAATAGTGCATAAGTGACCTCCCTATGAGGAATGCCCCCCCCCCCCATCTGCCTTTGTCTCCCTATGTCACGTATATTTGAAGATTTTGTAATGGGATTAACTTCCACGGCAGGAGACAGATGCTCTCTAGTGGCATGTTTGGAGCAGTGCACTTCACAGAACATCCCAGGCCGCTTTCTTTACAGCCTCCACTACTGGTGGATCTGCTCGTATTTCATGTTTCAATTAGATCTTTAACATCTCACTTTCAATCAGGACTTACTGTTCACGATTCATTCCCTGTTAATAAGGGGTGTTGTCGTTATTTTCTTCTTTTTTTTTTTTTTACCAGACGGCTGCAATACTGCAGAAGGTCCGCCATCTGTGGCTCCATCAGCTGAGATGCCGTTAACCATGGTTTACATGTACAAACGTGTTTGTTGGGTTGATTGCATTCACGCTTATCTGACTTGCTGTAAACAAACAGTAGCTTTATTCAAGATTAAACATTTAGACGACCACAGAATAGATGAACAGGCATTGGTCTAACACAAGGTTGCTTTTTACGCTGCTGTCCCAGAGACCCACAATTATGCAAAGCTTTAGCGCAACAAGGTTAGATGTATTTCTATGTATACAGAGGTATGTATGCGTATACATACACACATGTGTATACCCGGCACATTGCCTAGTAGCCAGTTAGTCTCCTGCATAAAGTCTGTATCCACAAAACATGTCAACTTTGAATCTAATTAGGCTCTTGGATATGTGGGATAAAAATAAAAATAAAAATGTAATCTGTATGTTACAGTAAGATCAACCACAGGATAAAACTGGTCTTTTTTTCAAGACACCAACTGTAGTCTGCATATTACTCGTCATCTTAGCTGCATTCACTTATAGCTATGAAGAGAAAACGGTTGTGTAGTACCTCTCTCTCGAGTAGAAGGCAGTGTTTCCATGGGGTCATCATGACCAGGAGCAGAGCAAGAAAAACCCCGGCTTAAAAAAAAAGACGGCAGACAGACAAGTCCAACCAACTGAACCTGACGAAGGCACCAACAACACACAGAGGGGGCATCTTTTCTTCTTAAAAATACACACATCAAATACAATATACCGCCTCGCAAAGGGGCCAGAGTAAAGAAAAACGAGTCAACATCAGAGAGAAAGTGGCGAGTTGTACAAATACAGTGGAACTGTACACGCGGGAAGCATAGACTATGATTCCTCCGTCGACCTCCCTCGGGAATGTTTGAAGGGATCATCTTTCTGGCGGTAAATGTAGGCAGGACACAAGATGATGCATCCGGCACTGAAGGTTGCAAAATACTCTCTTATTCAACGAATAAGGGGGCAGTAGGTGGCCACAATCCCCCCGCCCCTTACCCCGCGGGTGGGGTAAGTCAGAGGGAAGGAGAGCAGTTGTTGGATGGAGAGCGTTCGACGAGTCATGTGACTCAGGGTTTAGCACCGACTTTAGAGGTTTTTGAGCTGCGTGTCTCCAAGCGACGGCAGACGGTGGGTCCGTGTGTATTTGACAACGAGGATGGTGATGGTGTGTGGGTGAATCAGAGACGGGGATGAGTCTGGGGGGGGTGGGGTGACGGGGTTGAAGGGTGGAGGCATTGGTGGCGTAGCATCACTGACCCACAATGTCAATGGAGTCTTTGCTGTCTGGTAAACTAGGGCCAAACTGTATTTCAAACAGGCTCTCAGGGCTTTTGACTGCTACAGTGGATGTAAATAGTTATAAAAAAATTTAAATGGTTAGAAAAACTTTTATTTTAGAATGCGGCCTGTTTCTGGCACGAGCTTACTTAGAAGCTTCGGCACGACCAAGTTCTATTGTATTGTGTTTTTTAAACTGAAAAGATTCAAGATCAGGAATATTATTATTAATAGTGAGTGTATTTAAATGCCCCGGACCGTTTTTCTTTTGCTGCAAGTATTGGAGCAGTGTCAGGCCGGCGTCTACAGACCAGGAGTCAGGGGTTAAACTGGGAGCGAGTCAGGACAGAAACCAGCAGCCGACCAACACAGTGAAATTACAGTATATCATCTGATTTTTATTTGCTTCATAAAGAGACAAAAAGCTGGGTTTTTTTTCTTCTTTTCTTTTTACGGTGAGCTGAGTAATCCCAATTTAACCCCTGGATTTACATTCATGTTAACGTGATTGCGTATAATTAAGACCTAACAAGTGACAAGACAGTCAAAACAGTTGCAAGGCTTCATGCAGTGCTGCCTCATAAGATTCACATTGACTCTACGGTTGAGAGGACAAAAAGTATTGAAGCATTTCTAATCGGTGCGCAGCGGCTCTTCGTAACTCCATTGATCATAAAGTAGCAACCATCTTATTTAAAAAATACAAAAGCTGTGATCTTCACGTACATGTGTCACATTTACTATCTATGAGAAGCTAACGTGGTTCGCGACATGGTCACTGTTCTAATCCGCCGCTTTGTGTCCGTGTTGGCGATTTCTTTTGAGGCTTGAAGCTCGTCTGTAACACTGCAGGATTACTTCACTGTCACTGATGGAAAAAACCCAGGAGACATGTATGATGTGAGCACATGTGAGGCTAAGAACAGACACTTGTTGTGATTGTAACGCGATTCTGGTAGCGCTTACAAGCTTACATGCAGTTAATGGTTTGAGATGATATAGAGAACCAAAAACAATAAATACCTTGTATAAAACATAATTTCATATCAATATATTAAAATACTATTTAAAATAATATCTTAGACAATATTGCAATATGAAATTGACCGATAAATAGTTGGCAGGCCGGCACAGATAAATATAGACTGTTGAATATATTTAGGTATCCGTGTCTTTCATAGTTTGCTGTTTTGACTTAATGATTTGAATTTTCCAGATTTCTCCCAGTTGGTAGCAGTACAATCCAGAGAGCGAATACATTTTCTTTTTTTCCAACAGTAATAACAATGAACTTACAGTACACAGTCCCATAATAAAGATATACATACTGAATACAATATAAATGTCAAGACGGAAAAATAGAAAAATATCAATAGAAATCAAAAGTCAAACACATGTCAGAGAAAGTATACAGAGTAAAGTGTACTTATGAGTCTTTGTGGTTCTTGTTGTTGTAGCTGGAGCTTGTATTGGCTCTCATTGTTGGTTTATTGGCTGTGTAACTGTACTTCGCATTTTTGTTTAAACACACACACACACACACACACACACACACACACACACACACACACACACACACACACACACACTCACACACACATTCACACGCAAACACAAAGTTACACACATCTGCAAATACAGACACATGCCGTAGTACACACGATTGCACAGGTGCAGGTGTGTACTCGCCCACACAAACACACACACACACACACACACACACATCTCACATGACCGTGCAGCACTTGCAGGTCTGTTTCTTCTCCTTCTCTCCTTCCTCTCCGCCTCCGTTGGCCTTTTCCTTATCCGCCATGCTCCCGTTGGGCGGAGCCTGCTCTCCCGTGGCCGCCTCTCCTCCGGCCTTCCCTTCCCCATCCTCGATCACAACAAACTCAGCCTTGACGTTGCCCTCAACACCTTCCATTCCCAAAGCCTCCTGCTCCTCCTCGACGGTCTTGTAGCCCATGAACACCAGGGTGACGGGGTTGTCTGCGCTAGCTTGGTCGGGACTGGGACCCAGCAGCTTGGCCTCGATCCCTGTGACCTCTCTCTTGGGGGTCTGACCCGAGCCCTGCACGACTCCGTTCTCACCTGGAGGTGGCACCACAGTGCCATTGAGAGGGAAGGAGGGAGCAAGAGGGAGAGAGGGTGGTCCCGAGAGTCGGAGAGATGAAGAAAGAAAGGAAATATTGTTTCAATGACCTCCGGCCGAGAGGAACAATTTAATAGAGCAAATGACGAGGCCATTATTAGCCTGCTTGCTCTTTCCTAGAGGCCGGGCTGCGTTGCTGTGGTTTCCTGTGTGATGTTGTTGTTGAGACTTACCTCCATTTTCTTTGGCCACACCCTTATTGGCTGGAGGGTCCGTCTCTAGTTCTTCAATCTCTTGCTCCAGCCTGGCTCAGAAACACACACACACACACACACACACACACACACACACACACACACACACACACATGCAAATCACTGGTTAAAATAAATTGAGACAGAAACTATAATGTTGCATGTATAAGCACATTTTCTACAAAGAGTATGCCCAGGATGTGTACCTTTAATTCTGCATACAGCTGACCATGATGCTGACCATATGAATGCTCAGACAAACCCCCCTCAGACATCTACAGACTGCAATCAGGTTCCTTTTTCCAAGTTCAAACACTTGCACCGGGTCACAGATAAAGATAAATTATGGTTTCAATGTCCAATTTCTTGAGATTCTGACGACTCAATTTGGAATACATCACCAACAAAGCAACGTACATCCCTCACATGATGTCATAAGGAGTATGAGGACGCCATTCTATGATTGATATGACTGTGGCTTGAAAAGTATTGAGGTATTTCTATTCTTCCTGTGGCTTACATCGTTTTCATAAAACGTATGCATACATGCCTAGATGGAATTTTCCGGAACAAAGATCAGTGTTTTTTTTGGAGGTTACCTGAGGATGACCTGCTCCAGGAGTTTGGTCTTCACCTCGTCCTCATGCAGACGCTGTTGGGTCTCCTCCTCCGCTGGAGCTCCATCTAACAACCAGCGCTCCCTCAGTGCCTTCGACTGCAAGAAGCATCACAGACACCAGCACGTTGTTGAGAATGAACACGGAGAAAAGGCAATAGCTAAGAGAACGGGGACAGTTTTAAACTTGTGGCAAAGAGAAGAACACATTTTCACGTTGACCCCCTATTTAGTGCCTGAGTGCGACAAAAAGAAGCAGTGAGACGGCGTTTATTTACCCTCATTTATCAGGAGCAGCTAATTGATTTATTAACAAGACAATTACCCAGAATGCACCATGTTCTCACCCTCTGTCAATTGGAACAGATTAGCAGTATTTTGACTGAGGACAACGCGGACTTTGGCAAGTGCACAAACAGAAATCCACCAGCGAACGCGTCCGGCACTTCTCCGCTGACTGCTGCCACTCAGTGATTCTGTCACACACTTCAGCCGCTGCCAACTCGTCCCTGCCAAGTGGACCGTGGCACGTCGCCAGGTCATTAAAGAGCTGGACAGAAAGACAGACAGACTATGGTACGATTCTCCGGTTCTACTCAATCGAGCGTGCGGTTGGAAGTCGCTGAAAGAACTAAATACTTCTAATCCGAAACCGCATAAAACACATTTGATGGGAAATTGAAAGCACCGACTGTGACTAAATGTACTGATTGTAAACTGTTAGTCTCAATATAATTACTGTAAAGTTAATTCCAGGACAAGATAATTAAATTGTCCCTTATGAATTATAATGAAGCACGAGATGGGAATAAAATGTAGCCTATAAACTTTGTCTTGAGGTGGATTTTTCACCGGTAATTATTCTCTTACCTTCCACCTCTTTATCTCGTCTTCAGTGTTTACTGAATCTATTTGCGAACAGCCCCGTATCCTTATCCTGACCCCTCATCCACATTCCCTCCCGTAGATACGCTTAAATCAAAGCGAATACTCGGCATGCTTCACGGTATATATAACAATGTTTCTTACTCGCAGCTGGTGGATCGTGCAGCGTAATTCAACCCTGCTTGTCCACATGGAAAACGTGTTAGAAAAAGCTCTTGCTTTCACAAGTGTGCCGGAAAATCTGGACCCGCTTGATGTGAATTCCTCTCCAGTGATGCAACCAGAATTTCTACAGCAAAACCCCCTGTTTTTTCTACCCTCTTCTACGACTGGACCCCCGCCCCTTCCTCTCTCTTTGCTGGATCTCTATCCATCATGGGGTTCATGAACTTTGTGTTTTGCGCGTGTTATGTTGGGTAAAGTTGTAAATGTCAGGGTCTATCTGTTTGTATCTGTTAAAGGGCCTGTTGTTCTGTTTCAGCTCTTACTTCCCCCCCCGTTGAGTTCTTCAGTTCCAGACATCCAGCTCAGCAGAGCTTTACAGCACGAACGCTCTCACGGTGTAATTTAACACTCCTCATACCGCTGGTCTCTAGGGCTCCGAGTCTTACCTCTCTCGCTCGCAATCGTCCTCGCTCTCTCTCGCCACACCCGGTACCCTTACGCCCGACATCACGTAATGCACTCGTTCATGTGCACGCAAACACAATCACACACACACACAAACCAGTCTGCACGAACAGTCGTAAAGTCCAAGCCCTGAAATTACGTCTCTATTGTTCTTTGGAGTCAAAGCTGCTAACGTAGCAGACAAAGGGCGGAACCGTGATACACACACACACACACACACACACACACATGCTCTCCAAATGTGCTGAACAGCTGCCCGTTGAAATTCCAAAATGTGTTTTTCAAAACTTATTCTTTGAAAATATAATTCAGTATAGAATTCTTATTACTATTTTTTACTTTATTTTAAACGAATAGTTCCCCATCTCTGGGAAAAACTACAGCTTAGTTTATACACAGTGTTTGATTACCGTACTAGTGTGATTTAAAAGTGGAGCAGGTACACCCTAATAAAAAGGTGGTGTAAACAGAGACATTTATTGGGTTTCCACATGTACGCCGCCCCTGGAAAAGCAATACTTGCTGTGGTTTGCACAAAGGGCCTTCTAATGCTCCTGTACAGCGTGATTACACTTCCCCTCTGTGTGTACGTGTGTGTGTGTGTGTGTTTGTGTGTGTGTGAGAGAGCATGTGAGACGAAAGCGGGGTGCGGTGGGTGTAAGAGCCCTTTCCTGTTGGTGGGCAAATGGGACCAAAATCTGTTCCTCTGTCAAAGCCCTCTGCATTG